AGAGAGAGAGAGAGAGAGAGAGAGAGAAAACCTGTGTGATCTGATTTTTTGCTCCTCTATTTCTCTACCCCATTCTTTTCTCCTTCTCATCTCAATAACAACAATCACTTTTTTTTCCAGTTCTTGAATGTCTCTGCCCTGTCTTAGACTTTTGTATGAGCTGCACTGTCTAACTAGCCCTGTTTCTCAGAGCTTGGTTGACACTTTGTGTTTCAAAGTTTCCTCCTCAGAGATAATTTCTTGATCACATTGATTTAGAAGGATTCACCACTTGTGGCCTGTTCCCTAAATGAGAGCTATTATATTTTGTATTCAAAGATTTTTATTTGTTCACTATCTTCCCTACTTTGAGTTCCAAAGGAATTATTGAGTTTACTTCATTCACCATCCTACAACCCAATTTGGAAATGCTGCCTGATCTCCTGATAGAAAATGGGTTATCTGTTGAATTCATTGATGAACATTATCTATATTAAACTACATTTAATTCTCAACTATGCTTTGTCCTGCTGACATTCATACTTGCAGTTTTATAACATAGCATAATAATTCATTCTTTCCCACACATTTTTGAGAGAATCTTCACATTGTTTTTAAAGAGTAAGATGTAAATTGCCCCATGAACTTACCACACCACTAGCTCGCGCGATGGGAGCCTTCAAGTCGGGAAAGACGTTCTCCAAGTACCATTTGAAACTTTTGCATTTCAGCCTCTTTCGAAGTTCCATTTGTTGGGTGAGGTTGCCCACGTCCAAGCCCTGCTCTATGAGGTGATCTCCATGGCCATAAAACAGCTCCTTGTACTCATCAAGCCAGACCTCAGCAACCCGCACCAAGTTCCGCTCTACTGTCTTCATGCGATCTTTGGGGAAGGAATATGGGTTGTCATTTCTGAATATATGGCCTACTCGGGAGCAGGGAATGATCTCGATCTCACCACCACACATCCACACCTGGAACAATTCAATGATAATCAATGATTATCACATGGTTTTTCACAAATCATGAGAGATTAATGGTGATAAAAAACAAAACAAAACAAAACAAACGAACCCATAGGTGACTTTGTTTTTCCCTGCTTGACATAGTACTTTGAACTTCCAAGGTAGAAAATATTTTTGCAATAGAAAATAAATCTCAACGGGTTTATTTCGTTTGGGATATTACCATGGTGGACCATGTTAGGATTAGTAAAATAAATTTTTTGCCTTGATAACTTACAATGTAAAGTTCTTTTTTCTTTGCAGAATCCCAGTATATAAAATATATAATATGTGTTCCCGTTTTGGTTGAACCAGGGCAAAATGTATGGATGTGCAATTGTTCACCTTCCCCTTCCCTCATTATGGTGGGGAGTCTCATAGGCTGTGGGGCCATTCTTTTATTTGTCGGTGCTGGGGTTTGAAATCAGGGCGTTGTGCTTGGTAGGCAGGGGCTCTATCACTTGAACCATGTCCCAGATCTTTCTTGTGTTGGTTATTTTTTAGATATTCTTAATTTATACCCAGGTGAGCTTGGACCACCATTCTCCTGTTCGTGCTTTCCTGCATAGCTGAGGATAACAGGCATGTGCCACCATGCTCAGTCATTTGTTGAGAGGAAGTCTCATGAATTTTTTGCCTGGGCTGGCCTTGAACTGTGGTTCTTTCTATCTTCCCCTTCTGAGTAGCTGGGATTATAAGCTTGAAGCTCCACACCTGGCCAAAATCATTCTTGATCAAGAACTCCAAAATTACACCCCTTTTTAATAGAGACCACATAACCCCTTAGGAAAGCAGCTGCTTTTTGGATGTTACTAGTGCCACTGCCAAGGCTTTCTTGTATCTTAATCTTGATGGTATGAAGTGTCCAAAGGAACTGTGCTAATAGACACATTTGGCCTGTGAGTGACCCTTCTGGAGATACTGTTTTGTGCTTCTGTCATTTGTGTTCTTTAAGATCACCCATTATGGGATGATTTCATTACTTTCAACATATTAAAGAGATGTTCCAGGAGAGTTGTTTTGCATCAAGTGTGAATCCCACCCTGTTTATGTTGGAGGCAGAGAGTAATTTTCCCCATATTTAGATGCAGAAACAATGTTGTGAAATATTTTAAAAACTAATAAATTTTACAATAGTTGTTGATTCTTTCAAACTCAGATTGGGGTATGAAAATAGCAATCTGGAGACCCTAAAATTTTTGTGAAATTTCCTCTCAGTGGCAGTCATGTATCCCATCTTATTAGTAAAATAAAACCATTTAAAAATTACAAACTCTTAATTGCAAAGAAAATTTAATAAACATTTGTTGATACCTTGAATGAGAGCTCCATATTTTCTCCACCCCAAACATCAAGGCCAGGGTCATAGGTTCCAAGTTCAAAAAAGTAATTTTTGTCTATAGAAAATAATCCACCTGCCATAACAGGGCACCTATAGAAAGAGAAGATTGGTTTTTTTTTTGGTTTTTGTTTTTTGTTTTTTTCATTTTTCTTTTATTATTCATATGTGCATACAAGGCTTGGTTCATTCTCCCCCCTGCCCCCACCCCCTCCCTTACCACCCACTCCCCACCCTCCCTCTCCCCCCCTCAATACCCAGCAGAAACTATTTTGCCCTTATTTCTAATTTTGTTGTAGAGAGAGTATAAGCAATAATAGGAAGGAACAAGGGTTTTTGCAGGTTGAGATAAGGATAGCTATACAGGGCATTGACTCACATTGATTTCCTGTGCGTGGGTGTTACCTTCTAGGTTAATTCTTTTTGATCTAACCTTTTCTCTAGTACCTGTTCCCCTTTTCCTATTGGCCTCAGTTGCTTTAAGATTGTTTTTTAAACCTATATTTCATAGGAGCTCAATTTTTACATCTGTTCCTCTGTACACTTGTGTTGGAGTAAAGAGGCACTTCTGAACAACTACTAAGTATAGTGGTCTTGAGATGGAGTTACCAGCAGTCTTTACGAGTTCTTTGTTCATGATGGCAGAGCTTGATTAGGGTCAGCAAAGACAAGTTGGAACTAGGATTCTTATTTGTCCTTTGTCTTCTGACACCAATTCTTCAGAAACATTTTTATTCTTGGAATGCTGGGGTTAGAACCAGGGCCTTATACATGCCAGGAAAGTGCTCTACCACTGAGCTACATCCCTAGCCAGGAATTTTATTTTTAACCAAACTTACTTATGGTTAAGGTAGTAGCTGACACAGTTGTTTAAGCATTACCTCTCTATTTACTCAAATTTCACAAAAATCCCAGGTGTGCCATTATTAAGAAAGTGCAACGCAGAGAAGATGAGAAACTTTTCCATGGAGAACAGACTGCTATGTGGTCCATCTCAGGTTCACATGTAGACAGTTTGGCTTGACTCTATGCCTAGCACTTGACTCTATGTCTATCACTCCATTGCACTGCCTCTCAACCATAGGCAAACTTGACTGATAGCTTGTTGTGTGGCCAGCACTGTTGGAAGCACTTCATATGTAGAATCTGATTTAATTAGAAAACCATTCAAACTGATAGATACATCTATTAATCTTCACCTAAAAATGAGATGTTCATTGTGAGACTTAAAGTGGTTAAGTAAGTTTTTCAAGCTCATGTCACTAGTAAATAATCGTTGAGATTCACACTCAAAGAAAGAATCTGACTTCAGTGCCTTCACTACTATTACTGATCATGGAGGCAGAATGGACATTTTAGTCAGTAGTCAGATAAGTTACAGTCACATCCCATGGTGGTGACCACTGAGCCAGTTCAAAGTGGTTTCTGTGGAGAGCCTGCTTTGTGTTTGAGGCCTACAGCAATCTCAAGGATAGGGAATTTCTGCCTTACACCTCTCTCCCTTTCCAACTATTACATAAATATTCTATCTGTACCTCCATTTGCCTTGTCAGACTATCCAGAACGCATTTTCTTCCCAATATTATGCTGTATGTAATTTGAAGTCAGCCACTATAGTGACCCTCAAAATAGAATCTGAAAAAAGCAAACCAGTCCTTTAGATGTGGGATTAGAACATGGGTGTTAAATTCAGACAGATCTGGGATTGAGTGCCAAATTCTTCTAAATTAGCTGTGTATCCCTGGGCAAATTACTCTTTTAAGTCTCAACTTTCTCATCCATATAAGGTGAATACTACAGTTTCTTTTCTAGGACCACAGAGAAAGTTAAGAGCCCGGCACAGTGTATAATAAATGAGGGAATTCCACTCTGCTCCCAGGGGTACCAATTCTGAAGACATCACACCTGGTAAAGGAGGAAGCATGATTTACCGAGGGGAAAGCAAGCAAGGAACAGTCTGAGCGTGGCTTTCTTGTGGGATTTGTGAGATTGTGTCTGCTCAACTTCTATCTCCAACAGGGGACAAATGTGTCAGGACTCCTGTTTCTCTGGTGTGGCTGTCTGGTGCCTGTTCTGCAAGTCTAGACTCTTGGGGGAAGTAATAGGAAACCCCACTTTTGGCTTCAGGTCCAGGCTGCATTCTCCAGTCCAGCTTCTCCAGTAATAAAGCCTATATTTTAATTCATAGTTAGCTTCTGTGTCTATTTCTTAATTCATTCACAAAATTTGGCATCTGTCCCATAAAGAAGGTAGAATTAGATTGTGAAAGAAAATTTTACCCCTAGCTATTATTAGGATGGAATTTCTATTACTATTATTTACTCTTTTAACTTTTACTCATGCTAATGTTCATATTATATGTGTTTATGCAGCACATTTAACTAGTTTGTGTTCCTTAGGTTATAAATCCCGGGGTACAGAGAACACATTGGTAGATTTATTTAGGTACAGGGCTGAATAGGGTGCATTTAAAATGAGTCTTGCTAGTAGGAAACTAATTTCTCAGGAAAACTTTGTTTGCTTTGGTAAGCTATTAGTTAGACCTGTAATTTGTTAAAATTTGTATTTGAAATAGGTCTATTTTGCTCAGGCTGGCCTCAAACTCATCCTCATCCTGCCTCAGCTCCCTGCATGCTGGGATTACAATACCACATCTGGTTTAGGCTCGATATATATGTATATATACATGAATATATACGTGTGTGTGTGTGTGTGTGTGTGTGTGTGTGTGTGTGTGTGTGTGTGTGTGTATTTTGGTGGCACTGGGGCTTGAACTCAGGGCCTCATGCTTGCAAGGCAGGCACTCTTACTGCTTGAGCCACTCCATCACCCCTTGACTGTAATTTTTATTGTTCTACAGAATGACAGGACACAGCTGTTTTAAAACATTATTTCCCATGTTTTTAAAAAAAAGACATTTGGCTGTTTCCTAGTCTTAAATCTCACACACTTACCTTATTATGTCAGTGTCTTTAATTCTGTTTCTTGCAACAACATCTGGAGGAATTGTTTTCCAACCAAAGTTCATGGGCCATGTGAAGATGCCTCTTTGAAAGTTGTCCACTGTCATGTAACTAATCCAGGAAACAACAGTAAGAAAAACAAGCAAGAAAACAAAATGCTGCCTGAAATTATATGCACCTCTTTATTTTTAATCAGCTTGGCTTCATGGCTTATTCATGTATGGAACAGGTGTTTGTGCAGGTAATTTTAGATTATCACCTTTATGTTCAGTTCAAGAAAGTTTATGAATACATTTTACATTGGTGATTGCTTACTTTTTACTTATAGTTTTGTCCTGACCATTTCTGAGGAAGAAACAACTTAAAAGTATGTATTATTTCCCCACAAAGGAAGAACTAAACTGTAGGAAAACAAATATTTTGGGTTTCTGGATATAAAGAAAAATGATGAAGATAATGAGTCCTTAGATTTATTGATGTCTAGGTTTAAGAATTTGTAGTGACCAAATATATTATTGAATTGTAAGGCTCTGATTCCAAGATATTTATCATATGTTTTTATCTATTAAATGGATAAACTGCAAATTTCTTTGGTTTAAAGAATGCACATATTAGGACCAGAAATTTCTGCTACTTGAGGGCAAAGGTGCACTTAGTAGTGTCTGGGGATTATGGCAATGTTACCTCATATCCTTGTCATTGATGACTTCAATTACTGGACAGGCCACTTTTTTCCTACTTAAATAAACTCTTTCCAGAAGAGGTTCCAACCAACCAACATTACATTCCACATGAGAATCTAGGAATGTCAACACGTCACCTACAGAATAAAAAAAATAATAATTTGAAAATATGATATATTGAGAATGCATCCTTTATTTTCATAGGTGTTGGGGACTGCTCCAGAAATGTGGTTATAAAAGCAATAATCTTTTCTTCTCATTGAATTCCTGGCTCCTATAATTTTATACTAAAATGACATGAAGATTATTTATACATAGGGGTTTTGTTGGGTTAGCATCTTTTACATTTGGAATCAATTGATAAGCCAATTAGAATGGGAAGCACTTAAGTATTCCAAAGGAAATACTTAATATTAAAAGTAGTTGCTAAAGTCCTTACTTGGGAGTATGGGTCCCATTAACTCTGGGGGTGGAAGACATAGGACTTCATTTTTCAGAAGAACAGAGGGACTTGAGATTATTAATTAGGCCATAGAAATGATGAAGAGGAACATAATAGGGGTGAAAAGAAGTTAAAGTAGAGGGATCAGCCAGACTGGGAAGTAATAAAAAGTGGAAGGTGTTGCTGAATATGTATGGAGTTTTGTTTTTGCAAGATGATGTTCTGGGGATTGGATGCATGGTAGTGTGAGTGCACTTACCATGATTGAACTATACACTCAAAAATGGGAATTTTTATGAGTATTTTAATACAATAAAAAACAGTTATGAGACAAAAGAAAAAGAAACTTAAAGGATAGAAGTATTTATAAGAATCTCTTTGTTCCGTTAGTAGTGTGAAATAAGATTCCCATCCCCTCCAATGAAATCTCAGTAGCATATTCAATGCTTTAAGTAATTTTGTTAAGTGGAGTGTGTGTGAGTGTGTGTGTGTATGATTAATAATACCTTGAGGAATAGGACCCTGTCCCAAATGTTCTGCATAGTATTTCAGGCCCAGCCCTAGGTAAGTAGGAAGGCTTTACCTGGCAAGCTTCATAAGAGAAGGCTGCCCTCCCATCTAGTCTAAGGGCCTAGCCTGTGCCCTGCAGTAGCTAAAGGAATTGTAGTCAAAGGCTCAGGCCCTTCCTGCCCTCAGCTGGACATCTTACGTGTGGCAGCATTGCTAGTCTAGGTGCTTATATTCAGAGTCTTTCTCAGGCCAAAGCCTTTGTTGAGACCTCCTTTTAGGAGGCAGAGTGAGTTTTGAACAGTGTTCTCAGTGCTTTCCCACTCACTGCCTTTCCCCCTGACTCTTACCCTGGCTCCA